TATTAACCCTCTTCTACTGAAAGTGTGTACATGTGTCTATAATCCACATAAAAATATGAAGATGTGGTATGATTGCCAAATAGACAACTATATGAAGTGTATGTAAGTAATTATAGGCAACCGTACGGCCTTCAACAACGAGAAAAAAGCCATACCGTATAGTCGACTATAAAAGGCCACGACATGAACGGCTTAATTTATAACAAAACAATTTACGAAAAACAAATATGATAGACATGCACAAACGACAACCACTGAACTACAGGCTCCTGACTCGGGACATGCACATAAAGAATTTGGCATGGTTAAACATGTTTGTGAGCGCTCAACCCCCACCCCCTAGCCTGGGACAGTGGTGTTACAGCACAACATAAAAACAAACTATTAAAATCAGTTGAAAAGGGATTAACTCATCCGATCGATACAAAGACATACATGTCCGATTAACTTTAATTTTAGTAAATGCAAACTCCACTCAAAGGCCTACTGCATGTCAGTAAGTTTGGGTTAAAAAAGGAAACAAAATAGATCTTTTATGAACTGATATCGTTCTAAGTATCTTTGACAATTGTTTTGCATTTGGGTTGTTCAATTGCGTTAACATTTTACCATTCAATTTAAAGCTATTATTGGTATGCAATTTTTAATTGTTTTACTCTTAAAAAATGCTAAACATTAGAAAGCACATGTAAAGTGACGTATTCTAATTGGATTAAAGAATTTGCGTTCAAAACATTCGATAATATGATTTTTTTTAATACAAATCAAACTATAGAGCTAACATCTATTTACTTTCAGCAAACATTATCTTTCTTGAATTATAATAAAAATCAAGTGAGTATAAAGCGACATTATTGTATAATACCTTTCTACCGAAAACATAATTATTGAAGAAAAAAAATGTATACTAAATCAAACAAATAGTATTGCCAAAAACTCAGCATTGAAAATAAATACAAGATAACATGTTCTCTATTATTTACTATATTAAAAACAACACTTTTCAGTAATATATTATTAAAAAGCATTGAATTCCACCACAGTATTTTATTTTTTTAATTATCGTATTTAATAATCTTACGTTGTGTGTGTAAAAAAAGGAATCACGAAATAATTAAAAACCAATTGTTCAGAGAACAATTGAAGGTCTTTCCACCAGTAAGGATCTATTTTGATATGAAAAACATCAAAATTAGGTTTTAAATGTCAATTCCAGCTTCAAATGACAGCTTAATGTACGCTTATTCCAAAAAATATATGGTTTCTATAAAAAAAAGATAAATAAGGGAGATAATTTTTGACTTCCGGTTTAAAAATGTAATTCCGGTATTGTTTGATAGTTTATTTGACACTGATTCCAAAAATATATCGTTCTATATACTTTTACATTAATTTAGTACAATAAATAGCTACTTCCGGTTTACAAAAGGTCACTTCCGGTTGGCTTTTTCAAGGTCAAATGGCTTGCAACCTAATGCAAAAAGTCCCATGGCTTTATCATGTACATATATGAGGTAAAAGCAAAGGTCAAAAGATAGAACGTCGAATCAACCTTTGACCTTGACCCCAATTTCAAGGTCATGAAACAAGGGCTTCAAATCAAAATACCCTAGGTCTCAATTATATATGATGAATGAGTTATATCACCATACGTGTAATTTTGAATATGATAGGGGAGAAAACTCCCATTAAATGTCTCCGTACCCTTTCAACTCAAATTTACGTGTTACGACATGTCGCAACTAACAATTCTGTAAAAAAATTTGTCGATATCTTATAAGATTTCTGAAAATAAGTGATAACAAGCCAAAATCAAAAAATTTTAACATGACCTTGACCTTTGACCTTGACCTCATTTTCATTTTTATGGACCAATGACCTCAAATCAAAAGACCCTAGGCCTCTATCACTTATGGTTTTCCAGTTACAAATACATTTCACATTTATCAAATACAAAAGGGGAAATAACTCTCATATGGACTCTTCGTAAAGCTTCGGTCTAAATAAAACCTAACAACCTGAGGATATAACGAGCAATTTGGAAAAATAAATTTGTCGCTTTCTTTTACGGTTGCGGAGGAGATCTCATAACAAGAAAAACAGTGTGTGGGGAGATAACTCTTACAAAGAAAAGTGTTCGTTTAAACAGGATCAGTTTCAAAAGCGTATAGACTGTATGACATCATATACCAAAAAACTAAGCGACATCTTTTGAAACAAAAATACACCGCAAGAAAAAAATTAGACGGAAGAAAAAAAAAATAGAACGTCAAATTAAACTTTGACCTTGACCCTAATTTAAAGGTCATGAAACAAGGGCCTCAAATCAAAAGACCCTAGGTCTCAATTATATAAGATGGATGAGTTATATCACCATACATGTAATTTTTAATATAAAAGGGGAGAAAACTCCCATTAAATGTCTCCGTACCCTTTCAACTCAAATTTACGTGTTACGACATGTCGCAACTAACAATTCTGTAAAAAAATTTGTTGATAACTTATAAGATTTCTGAAAATTAGTGATAACAAGCCAAAATCAAAATTTTTAATATGACCTTGACCTTTGACCTTGACCTTATTTTCATTATTATGGACTAAGGACCTCAAATCAAAAGACCCTAGGCCTCTATCACTTATGGTTTTCCAGTTACAAATACATTTCACATATATCAAATACAAAAGGGGAAATAACTCTCATATGGAGTCTTCGTAAAGCTTCGGTCTTAATAAAACCTATCATCCTGAGGATATAACGAGCAATTTGGAAAAATAAATTTGTCGCTTTCTTTTATGGTTGCGGAGGAGATCTCATAACAAGAAAAACAGTGTTTGGGGAGATAACTCTTACAAAGAAAAGTGTTCGTTTAAACAGGGTCAGTTTCAAAAGCGTGTAGACTGTATGATATCATATACCAAAAAACTAAGCGACATCTTTTGAAACAAAAATACACCGCAAGAAAAAAATTAGGCGGAAGAAAAAAAAAATAATCAGAAGAAAACCAATAGGTCTTTCCACGGAAAGGTGGAAAGACCTCATAAGGAGATATGATATATCATTCATACATAATTATAAGTTTTGAACATAAGGTAGTATGGGGAACTTCTACCATCTTGGATCTTAAATAAGCAAAAAACGATCAGTGTAAGTCTTTAATGAAATAAGCAAGTTTTGATGCAGGAACGCAATTTATTTTTAATAAGAAAAAAATAAGTGAAGGGAAAAGAATACTAGATTTGGATTCAAGGAAGACGCAGATCCATAAGAGGGGGGGGGGGGGGCTTTTTTTTTTTTTCTTCTTAGTTGGCATCCTTACTATTTTATTCAGATTTCTTTTAAGTTATACATCTTTGAGCTTTTATTATTTCAATAAAAAAATCCAAATCTTGTTTGATTTGAATGGTCTATCATGGTAGATACTCTTTTCAATAATGACTATGTTCGCGTTAGGTATACAGTAATAACAATAAATGTAATCCTCCCGGAACAGTCGCTTCTATGAGAGTTATTTTGATTATTTTTCATATTGGTGACGAATTGGCAATTGTTTATTTGCCGACATTTAGACCAGTGAATGGTAAGTTTAGTGAATAAGATATCACTGAAAATTAAATTAGATGCCGAAATATACTTTGAATATGGACGTGTCCATAAACTCATTTTCTATGCGTTGGTTAATTATTTGACTTAACTTAACTTAACTCTTCCAAACGTCACTTGTCGAAGTTAACATAATTACAGTTTTATAAAATGTTGAATTCTTCGAAACACTACGCATGTATGCCCCCGGGCAAATATTTCCGTTGCCTTATTTGACTAAATATTTCGGAATGCTTTGTCTTTAATGCTCTTAAACTACGTTTTGTTTTGGTAATCCAACTGTTTTTATTCATACGATACTATCAGTAGTCCTATACATGTACCATGGCCTTCGTACTATGTTACTGGTCGTCTGATACATGTACCTTCACGTCTAGTATTGTAATTCAATGGATATTGCACAGTCGAATGATTAACACAGTTAATTAGAATGCACTATATTCTGTTTTAGTCGAACCCCTTTGATATCAAAAAGCGAAAATGAATTGAACCAAAATAGTATGACCACAATTCTTTCAGATCAATACGATATACAATAAAATAAAGAACACTTATCTATGTCTAAGACAGTCTCGTACAGTAATTCATACCATTAAATTGAACAGTAGTTTTGAAGAAAAAAGATTTGGAAATTGTATCACTTGAACATAATCAACTCTACGCCTAAGCAACACATCGTGAATAAAAGAAATATACAAAGACGGTTACTTATGATCTGACCAATTGAGATTCCCCGATTTTAGGTGTTGGTGATGTTGCTAAGTCTTTAGTTTACTATGTTGTCTTTTGTGGACTGTTGTTTGTCTTTTCGTGCTTTTTTTTTTTGCAATGATTTTGCTGGTCTTTTTATTTCGGCTTCTTTTGCACGCTCGTTATAAGATATTACAATTGTGTTGCATTTCCATGATATACTTTTGGACACACACGCAAAGCAAAATATGTTTATATGCAATAAAAGCAATACGGTAAAAGGGGATGAAAAGCAAAATTAAGATGCTTAACTTCGCCGCTGAAAGTCCTTGAACATATCATACTTAAACAATGAACATTTCCAATAATAGTTGTTTTAAAAATAACATGTTGTTCAAGGTTGAATTCACCGAATTTCAATTACAAATTCAAATAACGATTACCATGATATTTACTATCATTTTACCATGTCTCTGTCTTGTAGACATTTTTATATAACGACATTCTTCATTAGATGTATAAATTAATTACCAGTCTCATGTTTTATAATCCGCCAAACAAGTTAATAAAGCATTTTCTGTAATATATGTGTTGATATTAACACCACATTATCAAGCCAAATCGTAAATTATTACTTTGTTTTAAATATCTTTAACAATAAAGTTAGAACTACATGTCATTTCTGCCTTATAAGGCTATTTATGTGCTATTGTTTTTTTTTTTTTTTTTTAAGAATTGTGCTTGCATTCCATTTGCCATTACTTCTTGTTTATAATCTAAGTCATTTGATGCACTTCGCGTTGGTCTTGCAAAGTCCGTAATAAACGCTAATGTGTCCTGTTGGAAATAAAAAGCAGACAGTAACATATCACAAAATAAAGAAGTAATTCAATTTTTTTTTTCATAACATATTGAATGTAAATCATAGAAATGAAGCAAATGATCGCAATGTAATCAAGACATGTAAGATAACAAAAATGCTAGTTCTTATGCAAACAGAATAACATCGTATAAATACTCTGATACAACTTTGTAGATAATCCCAAGTTAACAAAAGTCCGTACGGTGACCTATAGTTGCTCACAGTCATGTCCATTGGTATCTGGTGGATAGTTGTCCAAATGGCAATCATACCACATCTTATTTTTATTATTATTATATCAATTGCACATGGTGGGTGTATTTATCTAAAAGTACTTTTTTATTTGATAAATAAGACTCATAATAAATGTAAATATTTGCAGTATTGTAGACGAAACTATAAAAAAAGTACAAACGTAAGGCGATTCCAACACAAACGAGTTTCTCTAATAAAGCTGACTTTAAACAGGGTTAATTGACATTAATTTTGAAAGTTCCAAATTAAAAGTACAAAGTCACGTTAACTTTTTTTTTGTATATGTAGTGTTTTTCGTAATAATTGAAATTCGACTTTTTGATATTGTAACTGAGTCTCTCTTAGTTAAAAATGGTTCTTTCTTCTTAATGTTTATCTACTAGTATTTTACAAATACCTCGGACCATATATATTGTGACCATTCCATGATTAAGGGAGGGATCATGCATTTGGAAACCTAGCTGTTTAGATTATTAATTAATGTTTAATTACTCGACATATTGTCTTAATAGAATAGAATGAAGTTTTTTAAATATGTAAAACTGATTACACCACTACATGTTGTGCCTTAATGGATTAATTATAAAAAAGAAGATGTGGTATGATTGCCAATAAGACAACTCTCCACAAGAGACCAAATGACACAGAAATTAACAACTATAGATCACCGTAAGGCCTTCAACAATGAACAAAGCCCATACCGCACAGTCAGCTATAAAAGGCCCCGAAATGACAATGTAAAACAATTCAAACGAGAAATTTAACGGCCTAATTTATGTACAAAAAATGAACGAATAACACATATGTAACACATAAACAAACGACAACCACTGAATTACAGGCTCCTGACTTGGGATAGGCACATACGTTTACTTATGCATGTATAAAACGTGTTATATTCTTTACAAGAAACCATACACCCTTTTATGTATTTGTATAATTAACATCGCGTTTGAATTTTCCGTATGATAAATTATGTTGTAAAAACAAATGTACTTACGTCTATTCCGTTAACTATTTATATAGTAACACGTTTCCTTTGTTCTACAAAAAGTATACGGCGATTTCTTATTCTTGAAAATTGTTAGTATCACATTCAATAATTGGAATTTATGAAAAAAGTTTTCCCGTAAAAACAACTAATGAGTTCACTGGTATCGTGTTAACTATCATATATCGAATACTATTTTGAAAAATAAATCTTTCTCTTTTTCAATATGTTATCGTTTTGGAACCTTACATGATTATGTACATTTTACATGTATATTTATATATTTTATAACATTTTTGATTCAATCTTCAATAACACGAAATTGAACAGATTTATGTCAAAAACAATTCAGTCCAAAATCTGTCTGCTTCCATTTTTTTTAACGTTTTGCAGAACGACATTATCAGTTGTTATTTTTATTTCGTTTAAATGTTATTACCTCCGGCCGTTTTTTTTTTTTTTTTTTTTTGTCTTATAACATCGAGCATCACTGAAGAGACATTAATTGTTAAAATGCGCAGCTGGTGCTGTAAAATTGGCACGGTTAAGTATATATCACTATACGGTAATGATTTTGTGTATTTTTTTCAGAGCCGTGTATTCATGTAGTTGTTTCGAATCTTGTCTCTTGGCCGTTGATGGATTATTGTCAGTTTTATCCCATCAATGAACTGATATTTTATGAAGAATTCATTATTTGTATGATTGATCATGTGGTGGAACATGTGCAGTGTTCTTATACACAAATGAATAATATAAAGTTCTACGTATGAGATGTTGGCATTTCTAATTCAGCAAATACATATAGTTCTCATTGATCAAATCGGATAAAATAATAAAAGTCCGGGTAACAAATTCCTGTTAAGAAATTTAACTGCAATACTCGTGGCGCAGTAGCTTAAATTGGCAAGATATAGAAATGTTCTTTTCACATTGCTAAATTTATCATAAAGTATTGAACTGTGTATAGTTGTTTTTTTATATAAATGTTTGGCCTATATATCAGATTGGCGATATGATTATTATTTGCTGATAAAAAGAAGATTTAAATTCCAAATAAATGGTGATATCTTGTATTTTGGTAACCCTTTCAAAGGAAGAGGAATATACTAATCCGTATTTTTGAAAATTAAAATGCTTCGTTACAGTTTGTATCCTTTACATGATTTATTCATCTGTGATTTTTATTAGGATCTTCTTTACAAAAGTTTGAATGCATGACTGTTTGAATGCATGACTGTTTTAATTACAAATACATATTGGCACATTACCTGAAGAATCTTCCACATTCAGTGGTTGTTTTGCTTGTGTTTCCTCTACAAAACAATACTTACGTTATTACAAAATGATAAAATTCATCAAAATGAAAAATGTACTTTTTCTTTTTTCTGTGACATTAAGAATTCAGGCTTCTAGTTGTAAATATGACATAGCATGCATACATGTACCGTCTGTTATTTCTGGTATAAGAATTATTTATAAGTACTCATTTAGAATTTAAATCAGTACAATACTCTTTCGACGTAGTTCTTTTTTGGATTTTGAAAAAAATACATATTTGTGATACAAAGGTCAGAATGACAAACTATACAAAAAGTGAGTACCTTATTTGTTTTGTGAGGAAGATTTGTTTGAAATTAAAATATGGCTCTCAAAACACATTTAAACCCGCCACATTCTAAACGTAAGGAGCCTGTAATATAGTGGTAGTGTCTTATCATAATCAAGCCGCTAATTTTCTCGTGTGAATGGTTTTACATATTTTCAAGTCGAGCCCTTGTATAGTTTACTATATTGTATGGGTTTTGCTCATTGTTAAAAGCTCGAACGGTGACCTATAGTTGCTAAAAATTGATAATTTTGTCACTGACAGTCATATAACATCTCCTTATTTCATATATATCTATAATGAGAATTATTCATATACGGAATAAATATAAATATAATATAGTTAGTACGGAAAAGTGGGTCGACCGGGATCAAACGATAAGACAATTGAGTTTTTATTTGTCCTTAGGGGTGGATTTTTTTTCCAGCTAGACATCACTTAAGCTGCAACAATGCACGGCAGAATACAGCTGTGGGGTAATATAAACAAATTGGGGACCGGTCAAAATTTAACAAGGCATGGGACCGGTGCAAAACTAAAATGAACTATAAAAAAAACTTGAAGTCCCATGTTTATGCAAGTGAAGAAAAAGTGATATCCCATTCTATTTTGCAACAAAACAATTTGATGTCCCATGTTAATGCATACAGTATAAACTATCCTTCAAACCAATGTGCCAGACACGTATACATCATTCAAATAAAACTGACATGTGGTATGATGACATTTTTTAAAGGTGTTTCACCAATGTTGAAGACTGCCATGTTTTATATTGCTGTTTGTTTAATTTAATTTTTGAAGACATTATCTGTTATTTTTTTTTGTGAGTTGTTTACTTTATCGTGTCCCGCCAATTTTGTTGTACAGCACTTAAAAAATCTTTTTGCCACCCTTACAATTATTATAGAAAAAGTTCTTGCTCCGCAGCAATTTATTGAAAAAAACAGTTCTTGCCCTGTTATCAAGACTTCTACAGTGCCTCCTCGCGACAGCACACGGTTAACTAGGTTAGATTATCCTAGGCGTCATCTGTGGAGGATCTCGGAGCAGCAAGGGCCCAGAGATGCAGTTTGTAGGCATGTGCGGACATGCCCTAGCACTTATTATCCTTGCCCCAGCTATGGGTCAAATAGTATCACTGCCTTGTGATTGGATTTTTGAATCAAAGGCAATGGAAGTAAATCAAGACAGAAAATCCGGGTAGATGGAACTCGTTAGCAACAGCAATCGTCTAAGGGATGGAAACCCTCTACAAAAAAGCTGCCGGTCATCCGGGCCCAGGGGGTTCAGCGTAGGGTTAATCACCCTGCCTTGTAAAAAAATATTGATTACAGAAACGACCTGTTATCAAATAATCAGAAAACATATATATATCAAAACTGAACATGATAATTTATTTTAACTGAAATGTGTATATACTTCAAATTAAATAAATGTATAAACTATTCTGATTGTATTCAGAACCAAGTTATTACTCTTTTAACCATTACTGGTCGTCAAATTACAAGAAAATCACCAATAACATACATTTGGACCTGCATCTAAATATACTGTATTCAGATTGTATCATCAGTACATATTCTTATAGGGACTGTTTATTTATGAGAGGGATTGGCCGTTCCATTTTCATTTTCATTTTCACTAAATTCTATATTAATTTGTGTACATGTAATTCAACAACATTTTAATCAAGTAATCAAATCTTCTATTCTTTTTATTTGTCCCAATACACTAAAAGAGTCTTTGTATGCAATATGTTGTTTCATCTTTCCTGATACATGATACTTAATATATCACTCTGTGCTATCATTTTAAAATTTATTTGAATGCATCATACATGTGACAGAGTTGTCTTGTCACAACTGGAGATTTGAAAAATTTCCCCGTTTTTTGTTAGATTACAGCATTACCATTAATGTACTAGTATTCTCTTAACAAGATAAAATTTGTATGCAGAACTTTTACATTTGTCTGGTTTTTTTTTGTGATATACATTTGACGTGACTCTGTACTTATGTATCCCGTCATACTTTGAACCACACAATTATTTTATTTATTAATATTACTTTTACGGTTAAGTCTGTTTTTTTGTGATATCCAGTTTACGTGACTCTGTATTTATGTATCCCGTCATACTTTGAACGACAAAATTATTTTATGTCCAGCTGTGCGAATTTCAAACGCGTGATTTTACGCCAGTACTTAAAACCTTCCATCCTTTATGGGTGGATTTTACATAGATAAATAAAATCGTATAATATAAACAAAATGATGATGTTAAATTTGATGTATGCCTTTTTGTGCTTCTTCGTTACATTTGTTTGTTTTTATAGTGATTAAGATGATAACACAATGTTGACTGCTGTGCCCCTATTTTTGACATTTTTACCTATTGTGTCTGTTTGTTTTGTTCACGCATCGTTGTCAATATAATGGAGTTTGATGCGACTGTCATACAAGTGAGAGGTTTAGCTAGCTATAAAACCAGGTTCAATCAACCATTTTCTACTTAAGAAAATGCCTGTACCAAGTCAGGAATATGACAGTTGTTATCCATTCGTTTGATGTGTTTGAACTTTTGATTTTGCCATTTGATTGGGGACTTTCATTTTTGAATGTTCCTCGGAGTTCAGTATTTTTGTGATTTTACTTTTTTGAACTAAAATCAAATTATTTAATAAAAACATTCTAGTGTCATCATATAAACAGTTCAAAACCAATTGCATTAATAGTGAATTGTACTCCCCTCAGTCTAAATTTTATTTATAGAGTTATAATAACAATGACTACTAAGTTGTAGTTAATGGCACTGCATCATAAAAATTAAAGAAATTCTACACGAGTGGGGTTCAAGGAGGGTCTTGCATGGTCGCAGTATTGTTGTTGATGATGGAAGTGTTAAACGACCTTGACTGGCTATACAGCCTTCGCACGGTCTGAGGTGATAGACGTTAATTAACGGTTTGTTTGAAACACAATCTGTCAATTGAAGCCAGTGAGTTGTCCATTGAATTTGCTGGTAATGATCCCCTTGATTAATGACACAAATCGATATTGATTAGGGTCCACAAGTGAATGACATCGATTGTATAAATTTTCGAAAAATGCGGAAAATTTAAATTTTTAACATGAGGGACGGAAGAGAGCTTAAAAATCGAAAGATTTTGACTCCCGCCGGAAGAATCACATGTATGATGCATAACAAACTATTAATATGAGTATAAAAGCTAAATTTTCTCTGGTTTTAATTTAGAATCATGGATGGAACAAAGTAAATTTCAGACTTTATTAAAATTATTTTCTGATCATCTTGATCATCAGTGGTGAATCTTTAATTATGTTTTCCTCGTCTTGACTTTGTTCCAAGACCCCCCCCCCCCTCCCCCCCCCCCCAAAAAAAAAAAAATATCAAAAAAAATTAGTAAATTCCTTTGAAATACTGTTCTAAGAACCAAACAAAGGAAAATATTTCTAGATATACAATCTTGTTCATAACCTTATTTTACACCAATTAAGTGTCAAAACAAAACTCCCTATTCACGGTGTTGTGTAATTGCCCTGTAGTACAAGGGGGTTTCCCCAGCCTTTCATGAGGGTATTGGTACAGCACAGAGGGATCCGAAAGGACACATGGCACAAGGGTCACAGTTGGGTACTCGCAGCCTCTTCTTCGATTGCATCCCTCTCTTACTGCGGAACGAGCAAGGCAAGGTGCCATAGATTTAGGATCTGACGAGATTAGTAGGGATTGAAACCTATAAGAAGGTAAAGGCGCATTTACACCAAGCTTAGCTTGACTGTATAAACCCTTGGGGTAACCGTAGAGCCCAACGAGACAGGCCAAGTAACACTTTACTGGTAGTTGCAGGTGGTTTAAGTATTGGTCCTGCAGGGGTTTGGACGCCATCTTGACATCACTCCAAAATTTTGAGTGCCTACGGTCAATCCTGACAATTGGTATTTCGTCTGAGGGAGTCATACCAGGTCCGGTGGTTTACTTTCTGGGTGAAAGCCAGTGAAAATACGTATTTGAATACTTTTATGGCTTGGAAAAAACTTTTTGAAAGTTTGCTATATTGATAGTGAGGTCACGCGAGGATTTTGACGCGAGATTTGGACGCCATCTTGTATTCAAGAGTAACGGATGTAAACAAAAACGCGGATATTGTGTGCATATTGTATAACTGCTTATACGATTTTATATTGACTTTTTTATTGAATAAAGATTTATTGTTGCTTTAGTTACATTGAATAATATATATTGCTTTGTAATTTATTTTGAAATAAAGTAAAATAAATTGAATAATTTAAAAAAATATTAGAAAGTCATTATGGAGAGAGAAGGAGGGCACAGGATTAAAATCAACCCCTGTCATGAGGTAGTTTTGAAGTGCATGCCTGGCATAGGTGATGCCATAGGAAGTAGAATTATGGATATGAGGAACAAGGGAATTCATATTGATAGAGATGTTTTAGAACAAATTCCCTACCTGAGAGTGACAGAGGGTCTTCTCAGCATGATTGATTTTGGGTCTAGTCCAACTAGGGAGAGTGCTAGTGCAGGGCACCCAAGCATTCCAATATTAGACAGGGACAGGCAGTCATCGCCTATTTTTAGTCCGTTGTGTGCGAATACACCTGAGGATATAAGAGACGCGCCTTTGCGAAGAGTATGTTCTGACCCAGATGTGGGTAGAACACAGGCAAAT